GTGTGAGTGTGAGTGTGTGTGTGTGTGAGTGTGAGTGTGTGTGCACCTGTGTGTGTGCGTGTGTTTGTCTGTGTGTGTGTTTTTTTTCCTCAAAATTATTTAAAAAATGACTCGTTTAAACTGAATCTTGAGTTTATGGGGCTCTTCCAGCCCTTGTTGTTGTGTGTGTGTGCGTCTGTCTGTGTGTGTGTGTGTTTTTGTGTGTGTGTATGTCTGTGTTTGTGTCTTTGTGTGTGTGTGTGTGTCTCTGTGTGAGTGTGTGTGTGTGTGAGCATTATGTGGAAGGAGAGATTAATAATGACGTCCCCTGAACGGCGAGTCTCCAGTGTGGCTCGCTGCACTAATAAAAATGGTCTGAGAGAGGAGGACGTATTGATTTTTGCTTCATGAGGCCGGTTTGTGTGCGTTTGTGTGCGTTTGTGTGCGTTTGTGTGTCCTTACCTGCCAGAAATCGGCCACTGTCGAGGGCAGGGGGCCCTGAGTGGCGATGTAGGCCGGGTTCCTGGGATCGTGATCCATCTGTGGGGAGGGGAAAGAAGAGTTCAGGTCAAAGTAATCCTTTTTAAAAAGAAAAAACTAAACAAAATATGGGTGATGGAGGCCTTTTTTTAAGGCGACATATTAAGCAAAACCAAGTTTTTAATCGTTTGATTGTGTACATTTGGGACTGTGGAGGGCCTATCAGAAGACAAAGTGTGAAAAAAAATCACTCGGTCGTGTTTTTGTGGGCCGCCTCAGTCTGAATCCAGGAGATAAATCAGGAGGTTTCAGGAGTGGGTAGTTTCTGACGTCATTAGCTCTAGCTCATTATAATATTCCAGCCTTTCACCTGCATGTTGCCCCCCCCCTCAGCTTACTCCCCTATCTGTGGAGACGTCCTGGTAGCGTGAGCGTTAGCATGGCAGTGTTAGCATGGTAGCGTTAGCATGATAGCGTTAGCATGGTAGCTTTAGCATGGTAGCGAGTCCGAGGGTCCAGTGGATGGAGAGACAGAGGTGAAAGGACCCCTTGTTTTGTGTGGACCTTTTGTGCCGTTTGGACGTTGTGTGTTCAGAAAACCGTACGTTTTAGCATTTCTTGTTTTGCAGGTGAGCTGTTTCATGCTAGTTTGTAGAAAGTCGTGATTAATATCTGCGTATTTCGCCAACGTTTGCGTTTATAGCGTGCTTATACATGCTAACCGCTATTACCGCAGTTAAACTAACAGTGAAGCAATAACTTTTTTCCTAAAACAGAGATAATGCTTCTAATTGGATAATCTGTTTTATATTACGGTGTAGTATATTCATGTAGTAGTGTCTAGTTAGCCATTGCCCACGTATGTTTGTATGTGATTAGCCATGCTTTGCTATTAATGTTGTAATTACAATGCATATGTTTTTTAAGAGGCACTGTTATATTCTGTTTACTTATAAAAAACCACAACTTCACAACTTTATAACTTCAATGTAACAACTCAAGATACAACTTCAAATAATACTCTGGACCTGTTCATCACGCCTGTATTTTAATCGGATGCCCCACGGTGGCTCCTACAGAATTCGTACTAGGATCAATCAAAACATGATCTATCTCATTTGTGTTTATTTATATCTGAATTTCCCCCAATGGGTAATGAACAAAGTATTCCTATTTTCTATTCAGGTTTTTTGGCTCAAAGTTGAAAAGTGGAAGATTAGTGTTTTATTTCGGAGGCTTTTTGACCCTTCCCGGCCTCCGTCTTACTTTGAAATGCTGAGACTTATCAGAGTCCACAGACTGACTTCTGGACGACTTGAGGCCTGAAAACGAGCCCCCGCTTTGGTTCCTCTAACCCTGGAAACCTGTCAGAGTGTCTGGAGGCTGGTGGGTGATTCAGACTTTTCCCTTTGACTTAATAAAGATGGCGTGGGCATGAAAGGCAGGAGACGGGAGTCGGGACGTGAGCGGAACGGGCCGGAAAGTGAGTGGTGAGTGACACCCGTGCTTATTAGAATGCAAATTGTACGGTAAATGCAATAATTGCCAAGACCAATTTAGCTGGAAGCAATTACAGACGGGAGACGGATCGTTTCGGGGGCTTTTCCGCTCGCCCAAATTGCCTTTAATGGTGCTCTGTTTCTTTTGTGAACGCCAAACAATAACGCACTTTTTAATGAACTTAAAAGGCAGAGACACAGGGGGAGAAGGTGACATGTTTATCCCCCCCCACAGAGCCGGAAATGCCATTTTCAACTCATCCGATCGAAGCAAATGTGAGGAATGTGAGGAGGATTACATGTAAATTACACGTCTCATGAGCTGTTTCTTCCTTGAATTTGACAGGAAGTTAGCTCAAAGTCCAGAGTGTCAGGAAGTTTGTAGATTTTTTTGTAGTTCTTCCGGTTTATGCTGGTCTCCGAATGGCAAAGAGAGCCAAAAACACCAAAAACTTTTTACCAAGAAAGCTCGTTTTTGTCTCGTTTCAGAGTTCAATAGAAGGAAACAGAAGGAAAAGGATGAGTTCAAAACAAAAAGGTGAGATAATGATGACACCTATTATTATTGTTATTTTTACTGATTGTGGCAGTGATATTGCTATTATTATTCTCATTACTATTATTATTATTATTACTATTATTATTTAATTTCATCTTATATGTCTTATATGGTGGGATTTATTCTACAATCTGTAGTCCTTTTGGTTTATTTGTACTACCATGTTTGAATATGACTCAAAATTTGGGGACATTTAAGTGACTTTTATGTACATTTTTTGGGAAAATTCAATAAACACAATTAAACAAAATACAAAAAACAAAAAGGTGAGGATGAGGGGTCAAAGGGCACCTCCTAGAGTTTTTCCAGCTCTCAACACAAATCTTAATAAAGAAAAAAATTGGAGATAGAGGCCTGTAATTATCCCCATTTGTGGGACTTCTTTCTTTTATTTTTAGTCTAATTCTATGAGTGAACGTCCCTCTTATCCACTGGACAGCTATGAGTCCCTATTTTAGGTGATTTAATAACTTTATAGGGAGTACATCATGAATTTTGACTTTAAATCAGTTTTCAAAATCAGATTCTAGCTTTTTTTTTCTAGATTTTTAACATTAAAACGATGTGAAAACATGATGAAGATTATGTAGATTTGAAGCTTAATTTCCGATGGAAGCACAGGATGACTAATTAGAGAAAAACAAACCAAACTTGGGTAAAAAATAGTCATATTGTGTCTGACAGACGCTTCTTATTCTGACTTTTTGCTTCTTTTCGGGCTCGTTTACATTCTTAGTTTTGTCATCGTGTGTTTGCTTTAATTACCCAGCAAACACATTGAAACGCCAAAGTCTAACAAGCCAAAGTTTTCCTCCTCCTTTAGTTATTAATCACCGTACTTCTGTGTTGCCTTTTTCCAAATCAGATTATGACCCACAGAAGATATTCTAATTAAAATCAGCCACTGGCCACAACCCCCGAAAAAAGACACTTTGGGTTTTGACCATTAAACCGAAAGGAAGGAGACAGAAGACGGACTTTTTCGAGGTCTTTTTCATTTCCTTTAGTGTAACCTCATCAAGAAGAGTCAATAAAGGAGCCGCCCGTTATCAGCATTCAGCACACGCGTGTTTCTACGTCTGAATGTTTAAGTGCTGCCTAAATGATGGAATAGTGTTTTTCAACCACTGTAGAAAATTCACCTAATTGGTCTAGAAAGATTTTTTGATAAGGAATTAATTATCTGCAAATAATATGCCATTTTTGAGTGTCTGTGCTGTACTAGTGACTGGTGGAGTAATCATGTAATAATTCCTTATGACTAGATTTTGTATATAATTTTGTATATTGAAGTGGACATGTTAAGTGCAATTTGAAAGAAGAACATATTATAAAAATACATTTTGGTGTTTATTCGATTCCTACTCAAGACACTTAAGATAAGATAAGAATAAGATAAGAATAACTATAGTGTTACTATAGGTGGCTACAGATTTGTTTGACATTTTTGGTTGGCGGTGTGCCTCGAGATTTATTCTATGAAAAAATGTACCTTGGCTCAAAAAATGTTGAAAAACACTGGATTAGTGCTCGGAGAGTCTGAGGGAAGGTGAGAGTCTGCTGGGGTTTTTAAGTCTGTGTTGGGGATGTTGATGTTTCAGGGGAAGACGGAGGCCCCAAGGGGCCTTTTTAATGATGCTAACACGATACTAAAATGTTCAACTCGATACCGATACTCAGGAAAATATTCGATACTCGATACAATTTTCGATACCACAAGGATAAAAACAAAGACCCAAAAATTTTACTGAATATTGACAGGTTAGTGGTTTTGGTTTCAAACTGACCTGTTAATGATGTTATGGTGGCCCACATTAATGACCCTAACCCTAACCCTAACCCTAACCCTGATCCTAACCCTAACCCTAAACTTGACCCTGACCCTGACCCTAATTCTAACCCTAACCCTGATCCTAACCCTAACCCTAAACTTGACCCTGACCCTAACCCTAACCCTGACCATTAACCTAACTCTAACCCTAACCTTGACCCTAATCCTAACCGTAATCCTAACCCTCCACCCTTCATAATTGTGAGAAATAAATATTTTTTGGTTAAACTTGTTTGGACTTATTGTACAAACCTATTTAACATCCATTATTTTAACATATTATAATGTATAGAGTTTAATTCAGTGTTTGCAAGATTATTTTAACTATTTTTAAAATTGTCGTCTACATTTCCATGAAGTAATTAAGATTTTCTTGCCTGGGATCTTCCATCTTATATCTCTATGAAGGAAGTTGTATGGAATTGTTATTGGGTTGGAAAAAAGTGTTCTGAGAAGTTTGGGGAAAAGCCGAGGCAGATGGCCGCCAACGCTCTATGGTTCAGCTCCAGGTTTCTGCCTGTTAAACGGAAGTTTTTCCGTCCCTGGGTCGCCTAGTGCTTGCTCTTGGTGGGAATTGTTGGGCTTCTGTAATTAACTTCAGAGTCTGGTCTGAGCTGCTCTGTTTGGAAAGCTGGAAGATAACTGTTTTTTTTTTTTATTTAACCTTTATCTTACCAGGAAGTCCCTTGAGATAAAATCTATTTTTCGAGGGAAACCTGGCAGGACAACATAATAAAATCAATCATAAAGTAGACTCTAGAGTAACAGTTACAATGCTCTGTGCAAGCGGTTTTCAATTCTGATTTAAAATGCTGTAGCGGAATAAGAGTCCGTAAATGCATAAAGTTTTGAATATTGTGCCACGACCACGGTGCTGCATAGAAAAATGATGTTTTGCCAAGATCTGTGTTGGTCCTGGGAATAGTGTAAAGAACACGATTTGAAGAGCGTGAGTCGTAACCACTGTTAGCTACAGACATGAGGTGACACAGGTATGGAGGAAGTTTACCCAGGAGGGCCTAAATGAAGGTAAGCCAATGATGTTGTCTTCTGAGGCTTAGAGAGGGCCACGAAACCAGAGCATACAGTTCACAATGATGAGTCCTGAAGGCAGTTGTTGTGATGTGGCGCTATAGAAATAAAATTGACTTGAAAAGCTGTTGTTCTAGTTGTAGTGGGCGAACGAAGTTGGTGCCATCTCCGGCGGCCATCTTGCCCCTCGTTATTGGCCCACTTACGGCGTCGGTGAACCGCGTAATGGATCGCCGTTTGTCTAGTTTCCTGCTCCGGGGGCAGCTTTCCCGCTTAACCTCTCCATTTCCCCCCGTTTGGACCAGGTAAATAACCTGTTAGTTATTTATGTGGTCGGCCATGTGTGGCGGTGTGTGTGTTTTCCCTGGTCGTGTCCGAGCTGGGATCGGTTTTCGTGATGCATCTTTGTGGCCGGCGTCCATCCCGATTGGTCCATTTTGTGCAGGTGCTCACCCATTAGAAACTCATCTCTAATATCTTTCTAACTGACACATGTTTCTGTGAGCAGCTG